AATATATATCCCTTGATGTTTATAGTCACCTGTGATATGGCCAATACATTGTATAGTTTTAATAACCCTTAATATGTGATTTGATAAAATAATAAAAATACCCTTATTTAATAAAAGAATACCCAATGTATTATCTACACTCTTCCAGCTACATGTATATAATAATTAAAATGAGGCAATAACTTTTATTTTCGTCTAATTCACCCTAGAACAAACAAATAGAGAGCATTTCTGCACTAATTTGGTTAATTTACCAACAGTAGGTACAAACACCTGTATATATTGCCAGGTAATTAAAGGTAATCAACACCTAATAAAACTTTAATCATACCTCATACACCTTGATATCATCCTACTAATTATATCTTATCTATATATATAGCCGCATATACATGTGTATATAAGCCTGCTAGAAAGTGAACAGTCAATAATTGAAGTCATAATTTATTAATAAAAACTATTAATATAAATCGGTTTGCAGAAATAGAGTAAAAGCAAGCAGTAGAATGAACACTGACAAACCTAGACAATCTCTCTGGATCGAATAACTATTCATGTGAACTTTTTGTACTGTTGAATTCAGATTCTCCATAAAACATAGTCTAAGTTCTATTTTGCATGCATGTTCTGATTTAGCATAAAAAATACATGAAAGCACAATATAAAAAAATATTCCCTTTTTTTTGTGTATTCTGGTTTCACTCTTATTTCCTATAAAGAGAAATGTAATGTCCGTTAAGTTATCTAACTTACATTGTAATCTATTTATTATGAATATTTTATGAAATAAATGGAAGTTGATATTATTAATTTGTGTTTACCCAGATCTTATTCTCAATGAATCATTCTTCCTTCCATTAATTTTATAACATCCAATGTTTGCATAACACAATATGGTCATTATTTTTAGTAACTGTATAAAAAAAAATCTGTTCAAATTCCAAAATGTAAATTGATTATAAAGTTTTACCTACCCTTGCGTAAAGATAATATTGAAAAATGAACTATTTGATATTTCCTTCATTGATGTACATGTATGTCAATTTAATACCACCCGTTCTTATCCTATTCTAAGCGACGCCATGATTTAAAGACCTCATAACATTGATTTTTCACGGACCAATTCACTCCAAGGCATAAAAACAAACTTACACATTCTCATGGCTCATCTTAGAAACGAGGGCAAAAAAAAAAAAATAAATTCACTTTCTAATTAAAAGTGAACAGTTCTGAGGTTCCATAGTAGAAATTCTAAGACACGGCAACAAAGCAGACAGCACTAAACTCACGTATTCCTGTTCAAGAATTTTCCGGAAGGCTAAAGAAATTCCTATGTAAACAGACGTTGCACATCACATTTCGGTCCACTCAAAAATTATTTGAATCAGATCATACACAGTAGTATAATATTCCATTTGTACACCACCCAACAAGATCTAATAAATGGATATTCACACATATTTCAGACTTTGAGAAATGATTTTTATCAAAACATACATTGTTGTATAATAAAGGCAAATTTATTCAAAAAAACATAATTAAACTATTTACAGTCTTTAAAAAAACAAAACAATTACCATCCCACACATATCACAAATTGGCCAAAAAGTGAAAAATATAAAATCTATTTTTGTAAATACATTTATTGGTTGTCTATAGCTAAGAGGGATTAATGTCCACTTGACTTGACATACATGAACACTTGATTCTATTAGAGAATTAAACAATTTTATGATCTATTCTGTAATAAAATGCTTTAATTCTTACCAGGAAAGAATCACAATGCACATGCATAACATAACTGAGGAATCATAGACAAATTCTGAATGTCTATATCACTTGAAAAGTAAATAATATAAAAGCACAATGTCTTCAGGGAAAAGTCAATTTATTCTGCTGTATTTCTTTATCTGATGCTTATTAAATGTACATGGAAAACGTATCCATTCAAACTGAAAATGATCTTTCATATTCCCACTACAGTCTAAATGTCTTAAGTAGAGGCATTCATTAATGGCCAATTGAAGAAAACAAGGATTCCAACAACACAAACCATTTAATCATGATGTACACGTTGATTTGAGAAATCCCACCATAGTCAAAATGTTTAAAGCAATCATTTACAACTTCATACTGAAGGGGGGCATTAATAAATATACATGTTCCCTATAGTAATTGAGAAAACAAGACCATCTAGATTTGTTATCTGAGATATTACTATTATTTGATATCAGAAGTCAAACACGGTTTCTCATTATTGTACTTTTAACCACGGCATCGATCAGACAAAACTCCCAGCCAATCTAGACAAACTCATTCTAAACTTCTCAAGAATCATAACTCTTTATATATCCTAACCCAAGAATTGATTTATCCAAATTACCAATTTCTTTGTGACAATTTTATTGATTTCTATGGCAGTAATATCAGTAATAAACTCGATCAAATATGGGTAAATAGTGCCAAGTTTCGTTAATTTGTTAAATTGCAGGTTTTTTATTAAGTTTATTAATCTTAGATCAATCTTGAATAAAATTTCGACATCATAAAATGAGAGACTTTTACGAGCAAACTTCAATCAATTAAAATTAAGTTTGTCTGTGAGTATCGATAACCAGCCTATATCGTAAATCATAGCCCAAAATAAACTTTGCACATGCTCGAGTACAGACGTTTACAAGATAAATTCAGTCTATTAATATAAAGTCATATTGTCAACCATAATAATAATTAATGACAGCAAGTGTATAATAAAACAAAAAGGCATTAACAATCGCTCTAATTAAAAGTGATATCGCACATTAATCACTGACTGATTATAGGCATTAACAATCGTTCTACATGTACAATTAACTCAAGGTGATATCACATATTAATGACCTACTAATTATAGGAGTTAAACAAGTGATATCACACATTAATGACTGACTAATTATAGGGGTTAACAATCACTTTAACTCGTACATTAATGACTGACTGACTATAGGCATTAGCAATCATTTTAACTCAAATTGATATCCCACATTACTGACTGACTAATTATAGGGGTTAATAATGTCTCTAACTCAGTGATATCGTACATTAATGACTGACTTGATTATAGGCATTAACAATCGTTCTAACTCAAAGTGATATCACACATTAATGACTAACTGATTATAGGGGTTAACAATATATCTAACTCAAGGTGATATCACACATTAATAAAACTGATTATAGACATTAACAATCGTTCTAATTCAGAGTGATATCACACATTAATGACTTAGTATATGGGTTAATAATCTATCTAACTCAAAGTGATATCACACATTAATGACTGACTGATTATAGGGATTAACATTTTCTCTAATTTAAGGTGATATCGAACATTAATGACAGACTGATTATAGGCATTAACAATCAATCTAACTCAAAGTGATATAGGCATTAACATTCTATCTAACTCAAAGTGATATCGCACATTAATGGCTGATTATAGGGTTAACAATCACTCTTAACTCAAAGGTGATATCGCTTGCTAATGACTTGACAGATTATTGCTGTTAATCCAGGTTAACAATTAATCTTACTCGGAGTAACTCAACTTATAAGAAAAATCAATAATTGATATATTACCTGAAATAAAAAAAACAAAGCTATAACTGATCAAAGACAAACTATAGTCTGTATATACATGTATGACCAAAAGCAGTCTTTGTAATAACAATTTTTAAGCGAGCTTATCAATCCAGGACAGTATCTGATATATTTCAAGACTACAATCAACAATTCAAACTAAATTTACTTTATACTAAAAGCCCTATTCAGTTAGGACTTTGCATCTAAATCCTTGTTAGTAAACTGAGTGAAAACATAGCTGACTTACACAGTAAATCTGAAGCAGCAAACTATAAATAAAAATGTAATCAATTAAAATTAAACTGCCGTGTTTTTTTGTAGGTTTATTTCACACATGCCGCAACAGGAAAATGAAAGCTGGCTAAGACTGACCTGTACGATTAATAACTAATCACTGCGTTAACAAAATCCAGAACCTCAAATCAACCTTTGAAACTTCACCATAGCTGTTTTTTTTCACACGTGCCACAACAGGAAAATAACACCTGGCTAAGACTGACCTCTACGATTAATAACGATCATTGTGTTAAAATCCAGAACCTCAATTTCAAGCTATGAAACTTCACCATCACAGAAGTAATGTTGACCAAAACAGTTACAGATGTTTATGTCTATCAATACCATTTGTTTTAGATAATAAACTCCATGAACTTTTCCCATGAACAAGAAACAGTTGGAAATCTTTGGTAAAAGTAACAAATTATATGTGTACTTCACAAACGATAATTAGTCAACAATTTGGGGCCAGACTTAAGAATCTGACCACTGCTCAGTTTAACCAGATTGCACTAACAACAATGAATATCCTGTTAAGAGCTCAAGTATAGCAATGCGCTAGACAAAACTAGAAGATCTATTTTTTAATCACTCCCTATTTTAATCCATGCCATGCAGTGGCATTCAGAGATTTGATGAAGCCCAGGGCCAAGACCACAGTACTTAGAAAAGAAAACATTTTTAGCGTGTAAAAGTAGATGAAATTAATGTTTTATTGAATTCAAATTAAGCAGGACAGTCTGTAAAACAAAGTTAACTGGTAATTTCAAGTACCAAGAACTTAATTTAATTTCACTCTTTGATTGGATGACAATTTATATAGATCCCTGTAGCCATAGATTACTCTGCCCCCACTTTGAGTGCTAGATAAAAACTAGATCTATTCAGTAATCACTCCAAATTTTAACTCAGTGAAGTTAACAAAAAAGCCAACCTTTTCAAAAAGCAATAAAAATCTGAATATACACAAATTGTATATGTAATCCTTACAGTATATAAGTGTTGAAGAAGCATGTCTAAAACTAAAATGTCTGTTTAGCGTTTAGTTATTACTGAAGTAATATACAATTTTAAATTAAACTAAAAAAAAAACCCAAACAAACCTGGAATATTCTAGAAGAATGTCACTTGATAAAACACATGAAAAATCCAATATTTTCAATCTGATGTGCAATTCAGTTTCTACGTGTATATTGAAAATTCAAGTCAGGACAGATATATGATCAAATTAGGTAATATCAATTGCATACGTCTCGGGGTGGAAAAAATAATATCTTCTTAGTAAAAGCACATTTACATAATGAGAGTTAAATAACCTAGTACACACTCCTGTCTATTATTACATGACTACAGTCAGTTGTGCAGGTAACATGGACTGTATAGACACACAGAGAAAGCTGAACGAGCTCACAGAAAGAGATACAACTAACTGTTCTTCCCTACTCTATTCTGTGTGTAGTATAGTCTTTCGACTCTCTCTATAAAATGTAATAGACATTGAGTCCAATAGATATAGTGGGCTCAATACCAGGCAATACCCTCTATCAACAAGAGAGTCATAACCGTATTTCAAAGTGACTTATCTTATTTTGGTTAGAAAAAGATAAAAGAAACAGCATTAGCTTTTTTTTAATAAATATATTACTCTATATCCAAGCTAATTTCATAATAACATTAATTATGTCCCAGAGGAATGATTACATGTAACGGTATGAAATGAGAATGAAATCGGGTTCAACACCCTACTTTTCTGCATTAATTGAGTAATGTAGTAGAAAGAGGGACATTTTTGCTCATACAGTAGCATTTCCGCCTGCCTCGCCTTAAGACTTTCAAGTGATCTTTTACATGAGTAAGTGGTACATGTATTTTCTTATCCACCTACCTAACTGGCGTGCAAGATTATTTTTAAAAGGTTTATATGACTGAAGAATTTATTCTTAATATTCCTTCTATCCACTTCAAAATTCCGTCAAAGATATTTCCACAATTGTGGTAGTTTTACAGTTAGGGCAGTAGATTAAATATAGATGGTTTTGTGGAGTATGGTCTGAGGTCTTATTTTTCCGAACTAACCAGTCTAATGATGATTAATCTAATTAAAATACAGATCTATATTTCGGGGGGGGGGGGTATACTTTCAATGGTCTCTACTCCATAAATATCTGACCGGATGTAGTGGGAGGTCGAGTCAGGGGTCATACTAGTGTCATTTTTTAACTTCAAATCTTGGCACAATTTCACCAGCATGGTTTTAACTTAGGGCAATGTACACAAAAAATGTTGGTCTCTGTATATTGTGTCAATAAGACATTACACTCCATTTCTTTTCCATTATTACACCAGAATTTGATTTTTGCTACCTTCATTAGCCTGGTTGGCACAGAAAAGTAAGACATTAAAACCCATGTCACACAGCAATGTCAATTATTGTACTTTTATCAGTACAAAATAATTCTGGCACACCTACTTGTTGTTCTACTTTGTATTGTACATGAAACTGCAGCATGCGCTCAAACTCAAATGAGCACAAGAAAATTTGGCAGAGTACTTCTTGAACATATCATATCTGAAATTCCGAATATAACCAAATTGTGCAGTGACAAAAGTACAATAAATACTAATAGACAGAAAAATTGTAATGTGATATTAGAGTTTCCAGAAAAATTAACAGTTGCAACAACAATGACTATTTATGACTACAAGAACCATAGTCTGAATTTAAAAAGCCAGCCAGAGCTACTATGAAGATGACAACATAGGAGTATTTGCCAAGAGAAAGAACTTTAATATGAATGAAAAATTTGTCAAGTGATGCATTCATGAATGAAAAAAATCCTCTACACTCCAAAAATAAGAGACTTTAACATCTAGCTGAAGCTCTCAATTTTTAACTGATCCGATATGATACACTAAATAAGAAATCAAAACTTTTCAAAGTCTAGTATGGAGCTGGTGTTTTGAAACTGGTTTACTTGTCACACCAATTGCATTCAGAAAATCAGCTTTACTTAAGCTTCTTAAGATCATATTAGTTCAATACCCAAATGACAGAATGATGTTCACGTATTCTAGTATAATATTTTTGATTAATTTACAATGTTAAACTAACAATAGTATGATCAGCTAACTAAATCTACAAGATTGAAATTCACACCTAAAATACAACTACTGACTGACCTATCGTCCTGGGCTCTTATCTCTGTCAATCTGTCTTTTAAACTTATGATAACACAACCCTTATTCACAAATTTACTCACATAACTGCACCAGTATGTACCTATAACACGATATTTGTTTAAAATCAACGAGTGAAATTTCACCATATACGACAAAGCAATCCAATACTTAAATAAACATCTACGTCGGTTTCAAATTTAATCCCAAACTGGGCGTTAAACTTCAAAATTTTAAAATTTAAATACATGCATACCATACAATTAATGCAAATACAAATGAAGGTTTTAATGTAAGATTATTATCAATACTCCATCTCATTATTCGACCCAAAAATTGATTTAGAAAATGTCAAAGACCTCATTAAATACAGTATCTGGCTCTTATCTACTTTAAATTTAAATCTAAATGGTACCTTAAGCTAAGTGATTCTGATAAGCACTTGTTTGATCAACTGGCCCGACTTAATCCAAAATAAAATTGCAGTGACATGAAAACTCAGATTCATTGACTTGATCTGTTCTGTGTTTGTTGTTTGATGTGTCTCTGTATATTGTGTCCTGTCTGTAGCTTTGTCTTGTATAATTGTGAGTGGTGCGGTCCCCCTGCCCTTACTATTAATGTCAAGGAATAGTGATATTGGTAACTCAATGGATTGTCACATATAGCCGTAAGTTTACTATCTGGTAATAAAGATGTCAGATGATTTAAAAGGATATAGAAGGATTAAGATAAGATCGTGATGTCCAAACAAACATCTTGAAGTTCATACTGTTCAAACAAACATCTTAAATTAAAGTCGCTTATCTTCATTTGCATTTTTCAGGAACTAATTTTTCACGGCTTTATCGAAGCTAAAAATGCTCTCAATTTGATTATTTAACATTAAATTAAGAAAACAAAATCAAATATCAACAACAGATAACATCCTGGCTTGGATTTAATCGGATTATAAAGAAGTCCATAAAATTTCAGTGAAAATGATACCTTTGTAAATACACTGTATCGTACAGAACTGAACCAGTTTTGGATTGAGAGAGAAATGTGGTTTAATATCTACTGGACACAAACTAAGTCATTTTGAGACTAATATATGGTTCAAATTTGGGGGCTTTAGCAGTGAGGAAAACGGAGAACCTGGAGAAACCCCAGGAGGTTAAAACAGGCAACCCAACTCTTTGTCACATACAAGCGGGAATCAAAACCACGCCCCTTGACTCAATGATAGACCATATGGTGCAACATGCATGCGTTAACCATTCGGCCACGTGACCCAATCACCCCATTTTGGATTGATATACCTTTTAGAGATTCAGCTTCCACAGTATTAAATACTGATCATAGACTATAATCAGAATATTTAATTTAAAACCACTATATATATGATCAGGTTAATATCTGATCAAAGTTTGAAGAGGTTTGCTACTTCTACACTTCAAACAGATCATATATTTACTGCAAATCATATTTGATGTATGACATTACAAAAGACAAAGGGCTTGAAAATAGGAAATGTTTTACTTTAATCTATGCAATGTAAAATAAATCTAAAAAAAAAATACTTTTCTTAAGCATGATTACCTATAAGGCACAATAACTGCAAATTATCAATATTCAATTAATGACCTCAACATAAGATGGATCCAGAAGTATATTTCAGAATTACTGTTAAAGCAATAACAGGAGTTTGCCTACTGGAGTAGGATTAGGATGGCTATCTGGTTGAATGCAGTAGACCAATGAATCAATGAAAGTCTGCTTAGTTATTCTACACAAGCAACTAAAATCTTTTTAAAAAATTTTCACTCAATTTTTTTTATCGTCATTTAAACAAATTGGGTGCAAATCACTCTTTGGCTATCTATTTTTTTTTCTCGTGATCACCTGTTAAATTCAAAGTTGAAGACTTCCCTTAGCTATTTCATAGAATTTCTGGCACTATTCTATAGCCAATTACCAACTCCTGAGTAGGATATTGCAGCAATACATTGCCTGGAAAGGCTAGAACATACAATTAGTTGATTTCTGGTGATTCTGAAATTGTACATTTTCAATCATTGCTTTATTACATTTATCCTAATACATCTAAATCTGGGAAGATTGTATTTTTTGATAAAAAAAATAAAAATTCCAATTTGACCGAATTTAACTACATATAATTTTTTAAGTATTTTTTTATCCGAATAAATCTACCAGTAATCTGATGGTATTTTTTGATAAAATAAAAAACACAATTCTCAATTTGACTACACATATACATTGTTAGTGCTCAAATCAGAATGTATATGTATGCACAATCTGATTAAAATACAGATCTATATTTCGTTTCGTTTCTTTATACTTTCGATGGCCTACACTACATGAAGATCTGACCGGTTGTAGTGATAGATCACGCCAGAGGTCATATGAGCAGCTTTTGACCCTTTCATTAGCTATTTCCTCACATAATTCAGAACATGTCAATGATAACAACTCTTCCAGATCCTAGTGTAGTAAGACAAGTAAAGCAAAATTTTGAACTATAAAAACGAAACGAAATAGGATCTGTGTTTTAATCAGATTGATGTATGCAAAATTTAAGACAAATCTGACAAGCTATCACTGGGATATACTGGTTTTAAGATGCAATTAATGAGTCTTCCAAAGTCTTTGGTGGATTTCAAGGAGTTTAATGAATGCTTGTGAAAAATACCTTACTCTATATAAGTAACTAAGTTCTTCTATTTTTGACAATTGGACAAGTCTATGGTTATTTTGTACATGATATTAAAAGTTAATTACATTAATTTGGTTGGTGAGAGTTACGATCCGTCTTTAACCCCTTAGCACTTGGTACATGTAATTATTATCTACCCAAGGCCAGTTCCTTGAAGAAAATTACAGAAAAGCGATATATTAATACCAGTATATCTCTGAACAGACTAAAAATGTCAGAAACTGCTATTCACTAGACCCTCTCAAATCACCCACGATGGAAATAGCTTTCCATATTATAGGAACGCTTTGGAAGCGCAACAGGCGGTTTGGGGCAGTGCTAAAAGGTTAGTCTTTATTAAATATTTATAACACACAAGTAAAAACATGATTTGTACATTAATAAAGTTCTTAATTCTATTTCAAATTTAATCTTCTACTTGAGGGATTATTAAGCTGATAAAAAAAAATTGAAGGCTACAAATCTCAACAGTACTTATTTG